ATTAGCCCTTTACCCATCTCACCACGGGGCACCTGGGAAGAAACAATGCTCAACCAAACTTGGATTCAAACAGCCTATAGAGTTGCCCCTGCATAGCCCATGGGAGTCTGACAACCAATCAGAATACAAGATTAAGATCAAAAGCCAGAGAGGGCATAAAACCAGAAACTTTCAGCTTCTCGCTCTCTTTTTCTTCTGCACCCAACATCTGGAAACATGTGATCCCGCTTTTCTGTTCAGGAGCTCAAGCCATGTGGTCCTGTCCACCATTAAACCATCTTTCCAAGCAGCCTCCGTGTTTCCAGTGTCTTTTTCCCCACTTGGGACTGAACCCAGAAGGACATTTCTTCCAAATCTAACACAAAAAATCCACTTCAATGAAAGTTAGTAGATTTGACGTATGTGAAGCCCCTCAATGTTTATACCTATCCAGGTGCCTTTCTGATACAAGCGACTACAGTTCACATCAGTGCAGTCCGCATTCATCACGGCTAAGCTAGCCAGAGACAATGGACCCTGTAGTCCAAACTATTCCTTACCAGGACACAGGAAAAGCTGGATTAGAATAACTCTTTAGTTTGCAATAGATTTCAGCTTGCATAGAGAGGCAGCGCCATCTCGTGGTCAGATCAGGTATTGACATGAGACAGAGTTTTAGAGGGTTTTGAAGAGGTGAAGAGGAGCGGACTTCAGCTCCCAGAATTCCTGGTGCTGATTTGGGTCTGGGGCGGTGGTACTCACCCACAGCGAATATCTTGATTCCCATATTCTTCAAGGTCTGGGCAGGTGGGCTGGCATCATCCTGAGACTTGCCATCGGTCAAAAGGATGAGCAGTTTAGAAGCTTCAGGTCTCGCACCCGCTTCCTCCTTTAGATTGTGTTCCAGGACATGAGTAAGCGCCAATCCTTGGATGGAGGAAAAAAAATGAGGCATGAAAAAAAATATAGTTAGAAAAGTTCTGTAGGAAGTTAGCACCCATCCCTCTCCTGGGAAAATGAGATATTTGGGAAAATATTAAAAGGGCAGAATATTTCCCCTAAAACGAGAGGTAGAAACTCACACACCACTTTGTCAATGGGCCATTAAGGCCTGAGACAGTCTATTCTAAATAACAAAGATCTACCTTCTTCAGGCAGATGCATAATAGGAATCCCAAAGTCCTTTCATTGTCAGGGTTCCAAACAGCATCCAAAATTAAACCAGAGCCCAAGGCAAAGTATTGCTCAAAGATCCAATTTGTTAAGAGAACCATGTTAGCACATCTGGGAAAATCTGAAAGCTTCCCGGTTTTCCCCACCCAGTTGAAAGTTCAAGATCTTGTCCCCACACCCACAAGTCCTTCACTAATCTTCCACTGCCGTGCTGGCAGCTTCCACCCATCCAGTTCTGGTCAGCTGCAGAGGTGCAAAGACAAAGGATGACCTTGGCTTTCTAGAAAGAATGTTGTTATGGCTACATCACATCTCACTCCTACAATTCCCTTCTCCCATGTTCCCACAATAGAAAATGCATAGTAGAAGAATAGACAGTGTGGCAGGCCAAAGACCCAAAAGAAAAGACACTGGGCCAGCCAGGAGTGGGATTTGGGGGTTCTCCAAACTGCAAAGAATCTTAGCTAGAGGTTCTCCGGGACCCCTGAGACACACACACACACACCCAGCAGG